AAACTACTCCCTTATCGCCAACTTGTGATTCCCCGAGATGTGTGCAGTCCAGCCATAACCACTTACATCCCCAAATACCATGGCCCTAAATCATCTACACGACAAATCCTCACCTGTTCCCTCCAACTGCCTGTCCCCTAAACTGCCCCCCACCCCCAAATCAACCATGACCTCAGGGACTCCTCAAGCATTTTCTTCTGTACACAACAGCACAAACACAGATTTACCCTCTTTTGCCCTATGAACTAGTCCTCGCAGCAGGACAGGCTCTTGGCAGCTGGGACATGGGTTTCTGCTCGCTGCGGCAAAGTCAGTGCTCTGCCCTGGCACAGGGCAAGTCTACTGTCCCCGTTCATGTTGGGGTGCGCCCAGTCACACAAAATAAATCAACATTCGCTACTGTAGCTTATTTCTTGGGTAAATTACCCAGATATCTATCATCCCTTTTATCAAGCTGCTGTAACGCAAGAGACTAAAATAGATTTTTGGGAGTGATTCCACCCCCCCACACACACACACCCCCCTCTGTCTTGCAGTAGTTAATTTCATATCCACCACCTGCTCCTGTGTGCTGGTGGCATGCATCGCTCACTCCCCTTCATTCCAAAACCAAATGAACATGACCTTAGATAGCAGCAGATGGGAGCAGCATGGAAAAACTAAAAGTTAATATTGCAAGCAGCAAAAGCTAGGTACAAATGTAATAATGCTCTGTGTACGCACCCATACATGGAATTAATTATGCTGGAGGCTCACAGCAGAAAAAAAACCTGTTTGCTTTGTCTTACTTTAACCTATCTGCCAAATATCAAGAATCATACACTTTCATGATCACCAAGCTTATGAATAAAGTTGAGAAAAACAAAATTATGCAAACTCCAGTTTGATTATTGGTGACGTGCCTAGAGCAACAGAAGAACATAGCCATTTTACTCACCCGAGGACCTCTCTTTCCTGATAGACCAGGTAAACCTGGAGGACCTGGAGGACCCTGGTGACAGAAAAATCAAAACAATTGAGACTAGTTCTTCTAACTGATGACTTTCTGCTTGTGCAGGCCTTCTCAACTTGAAACCCAATTCCCAAACAAGAAGAATGTGTGTTTTTAATCTGGCTCCAAATCAGATTTCTGTTTAGAAAGTATCTTATGTCAGAGGAATTGGAGATAACAATCTAGATAGTAACTTTTACTTAAGTGTATTTGTATTAAAGAAGAGATCAGTTCAAGGATTAGAAACAACTGAGTGCAGCGTATTTCAAAACAAAGAATAGAGAATAATTAAACCTTTTTAATAAGCATGCTGGCATGCCAAACACATTTTAGAAAAGTCAGGAGCAACGGTGAAAAAAAAAGAGATACCACCTCACAGAAAAGACAGACATGAAATAGAATAAACATAAATATAACATGGACAAATGATTGTTCGGTCTCCTATTGAAAGCTTTTGATAAGAATAACTGGAAGCATGTTTGCCCTTGTATATAATGAATATCATTCTCTAAAGAAAATGCAGATTTTTTAAAATGCTAGTCTCTAACTAGATGTATCTTTTGCAAATAGATTATTAATCACATTACAGTGTACCACCCTCTGTATATCTAGTTTTGACCATAGAAACCTTTCTTTCTCTGTATGTGATTGCTGTTCCCATTCAAAATCCCAGGATCTCAAACTTTGTACTCAAATGCAAATGACAGCCCTAGACTAAAATCTGCATTAATTTATATTACATTTCATCTATCACACTTGAGTCCTAAGGAGGTATGGGCTCTTCTTAAGGGTGAACTCAGCTCCCGTCCAAATGCCAGCACAGCCAGTCCCAGCTTTAACAGAAACCAAGTATGCCCACTGCAAGGGAAGATGGGCATCACGGAAGTCAGACCTCATGAAGGAGGTCAGTCGATGATGGCAGGAAGGGATTCAACTTGCTCTTTCAATCAGGCTTCCTCGCACTCCTGTGTTCTCTATATACTACAGCCTCTTCATTGAGGCACTAGGCAAAACACTGAGTATCATACTGCCCATCATAAAAAAGCACTGCTGAAAGCTAGCAGGAATACCAAGGAAATAAAAGGGCAACTGTGGTGGCTGAAATGGCCAACTCGTACACTTTGCAAAAAAGGAGGGGGCGGGGAGAGAAGGGAAAAAAGACAAACACCCTTTGGGGTTTTATTAGCAATCAAGGAATCATTTTATTAAGACAAAAGTTGCATGTTTTAAAAACCCTGAAGTTTTGTAGAAGTGATATTTCTTTCTCCTTGGAAAGATGTCACTGGCAGAGAAGACAATGCTCATTACAGACTTTAGGCATTGTCAAGCCAATCACACTCATTTGGCCAAAATACAGACCACTTTGGACAATTCTGGAAAAAAACACTGTTGTTCCAAAGAAGCAAAAAAAGATTTTCCTCTCCAATTAATCATAATAAACTTAGGAGTCTAGTTGTAGTGCAACTGCCTGTTTATAGTCAGGAATATTTGTACATCCACACATACTGCACTAAGTCATGCTGAAACCCATACCCCACACTTCCCTCTCTAACTTAGTAGACACAAATCTGTGTAACAGTTCTGGTCTTTAGGTCAAACCATAACATGTCATACTTTTAGCATAGGAGGTTTACTATTTGCCCTGATTGCATAAATGCTCACTAGCATTCTCATATTTTTGTACAGTAAAAAGACCCTGTGTTTAATAACAAAAAAATGTAGCAGACAGACACACAGAAAGCTCTCGACCATGCATTCTTGTCCAGGTACACAAACGTACCTGAAAAGGCACAGAGAGCTCCCACCCTGCCACTGCTGAAGTGGTATGCTTTCTAATATCTCCTCTCAAATCACAAGTTAAGAGATGCACCTTGTTTAGAAAATTATCCTGGGACTACAAAGGGAAACATTCTATATTTTTTTATTAAGTAAAATAGTTGCAACTAATATGCATTCTTTTGCGATTTGTGGTACAAAGTTCTTCTATATCCCTGTTTCAGATGCTTTCTACATTTCCTTAAAAATACATTAATAGCCAAACCCCACCATATTCCTAATAGAAATCTTAATGAGTATTTACTAAGACCCTTGATCTTTGCAGCCGATCTATTGAATGAGGG